AGCAGAGCTGTTTTAAAGTCTATTCTCTGAGCCACAGGAAGCCAGTGCAGGGACCTGAGGACTGGACTAATATGGTCATACTTCCTGGTTCTAGTCAGGACTCGAGCTGCTGCATTTTGAATGTACTGCAGCTGTTTTACAGCCTGTTTGGACAGACCTGTGAGCAGGCCATTGCAGTAGTCTAACCTACTGGAGACAAATGCATGGATAAGAATCTCCAGGTCTGCTTTAGACACTATGTTTTTGATCCTGGCAATGTTTTTTAGATGGTAAAAAGCTGCTGATTTTACTGATTTGATGTGGCTATTAAAATTTAAGTCTGAGTCCAGTATTACCCCTAGATTTCTGACCTTGTTTGAAGGTTTTAGGGAGAGAGACTGTAGGTGACAGATGACGCTCTCTCTTTGTTTCTGGGTACCAAAGACAATCATTTCAGTTTTGTCTGCGTTTAGCTGAAGGAAGTTGTTTTGCATCCACTCACTGATCTGTTGGATACAGTGAAGGAGTGAGTCCACTGGTCCATGTTCTCCTGCAGTCAGTGAGACATAGATCTGAGTGTTGTCTGCATAGTTATGATAGGAAACTTTGTTTCTGCGTATTAATATACCTTCATATAAGCCTTATACAAGGCTGTTTTTTTTTGCGGCTCCAGACAGATATTGTTTTTGGCTCTTTGAACCTTTTGAGTTGCAGACGCCTGGTATAAACAAACTGTAAAAAACGTGAAAAAACATGCCTGGGCCGCCAAGAAGGCAAAAATGCCCGGGCCGTTTTTTTGTCCCAGTCCAGCCCTGGTTACAAGTGAGGGGTTATGACCAAATTTATTATACAATTTCCAGGATCGTAGTCATCATTTTAAGAAAGTAAAATGTAGTAACTTAACACTCACTTCCTGGAGGCGCTGCACTAGTATTTTTCTGTAGAAAAAGTGAGTCGTCAGTTCAGCCGCAGTCACAGATGTGGCACAGTTTATGACCTGCTGGTCTGTTGACGCTTTGATCTGAGAAACAGACACACGGACATATAGACCCAGTGAGGTGTAGTATATATGGGAAAGAGAAGTAGGATGTACTTGTTCACATAGGGATAGGTCTTGCTTTAGCAATCCCACAATCCATGTCTTCTCCTGATAAAAAGAAAAAAATCCTGTTCTAATTGTGAAGAAAGAGGGAAGATTTCAAATACAAGCCATCCGTGCTAACCCTCAAAGATTCCTGTTTGAACTATCACTATTTATTATTCTCCTCCAGTAAATATTAGGAACTTTAAAAAAAAATATTTTAATGAATAATAATTCATTTTTATGATAGATCAGGGTTATATGGTCAAAAAAGGCATTAAAAAAATACAATTTAATTAACACTACAGACTAAATCTTTATTTGTCATACTCGCAAAAACTAATTTAACCCTCACCTACAGTATTTTGATTTTAGTTGAAGGGGAAACCAGAGCACCTTCGCGGACATGCGAAGAACAAGCAAACTCCACCCAGAAAGGCCCTCTCTGGAGAGGGAATCCAACTCAGGACCTTTTTGCCGTGAAGCACAAGTGCAAACCACTATAAAGTACAAATAACATGGGGTGACGCTGTTGTATGTTCTTCTCCGCAGAAGATGGGGTTTCCCGCACAAACCAGTATAGTGTTGGAGAAGGAATGCACTCTGAGTTATGTATTAAAGAAAGAGTTTAATGGCATAATCAGAATACATCAAGTCCAATTCAGGCTTAGCGCTTTCAGCCTGGGTCAGCTCCGAGAATGAGGATGGCATGACTGCCAAAGAACACATTAAGCACAGAGCTCTTATAGATGCGCAAGGGCATTTTGGGGAGTTGATGTTGGTGGGACCTTCCCTTTGACCTCTTATCAGTGGCACCCATGGTATCATACATGTGTTGTAAATCATCTATCTCAGTTGCCGTTTATGGATGTTGGAGCACTGCGCTACAAGTTGTTTCGGAGTCAACTGTGACCTCGGGTTTCGAAGTAACCATTCAGCCCACATTCCTTGCACGTGTCACAGGACTGACGCACAGCGCACTCTGCAGTGTTTGCACTTTGTTTTTATGTTTGCTTTTATTGTGAAATATGTTTTATTGTGTGCAGCACTGTGTGTTTTACTTCCTTTTCCTTCCTTTTCCTGTTTTTAATCCCCACACCTGTGGCAGATTTGACCCTGATTTTAATCAATGGACAGAGACACTGGTGGCAGAAGACAATTGGAGAGGGTTTTTAAACAGAGAGGAACAGAACAAAGGAGGACAAGAGAGGAGGACAACGGACTGGGCCAAAGGAGGAGCACCGCCAGCCAGAGACCACGGGGGACTGAGGCCAGCGGGGAGAGCGGCACCGGGGATGGGCGCGCATTGAAAGCGCAGGAAGGCGCGTGCGCGCCGGGCTAGGCCCAACATCACAGCTGGGATGTGCCCGCTCTCCCCCGCGGGTACCCGGTGGCGACCCATGGTCGGCGAGCGGCTAGCGAGACTGCGGCCCGGTCCCAGGGCAGAGGGACAAGATGGAGCACGGCTGACGACTGCAGCGGTTTGGGGCAACCGAGGAGAGGAGGCAACAGAGGACGGCAGCTGCTGCCAGCAGTACCTGCACAGAGGACCCACGGGAAGCCAGAGCACGACGCTGACTACACAAGTCGGGCAGAGTTTCTCCGCCCGTGTCCGTAAGCAACGTTTTAGTGCTCTGGTCGGGCATACGGCTACTGCTGGCCAATAGAAGTCTGTTTTTAAAGTCGTTTTACTGTGGGAGACCCGTATGTTTCAGGGAGGGGCCTGGCCAGCCGTTCCCTCGCGTGCAGCCAGAGCACGACGAGATATCAACGCAGCGGGCAGAGTTTCTCTGTCCGTGCACGTAAGTGACTTTCAGTGCTCTGGCCGGGATTCATCCCACTTTTTAATCAACAGATTTCTATTTTTAAAAGGAACATTTTACTGCCGCCTGCTCCTCTGGGTTATAGGGCTGCTGTCTTTGGGACCATGGAGTCGCCCCCGTTTTAACTGGACATCTAACAGTTTTACTATTTCAGTATTTTATTCGGTATTTTTATATATTTCTTTTATTTTAACTTTTTGTCATAAATTATTGTTTTATCCTTTTAAGTCTGTTGGTTTTTACACTGCTCACCTTGTTTTTAAGTCTCGCTTCCACAACTTGGTGGCGTTGCTTTTATGTGATACTCGGCCACACACGTAACCTCTCTAGTTACTCAGCAACCCAATATTCACTAAAGTGTTACACTCACCATCTTACCATTTGTCTTTTCTCTTCCAGTAAGTTTTAGGTAATGTTTTAAAACATATTCCAAAATCTGTATAATAGATGCCAAATGATAAAAGCTCATTGAGAATTCAAAGATTGCGCCGAGTCAGAGCGCTGCAGCAAGATTTTAGTACTTGTCCTGTGCACAATGGGAATTTTTGCAAATGTATTTCAATGTGTTTTTACTGCAAATGACAAAATCAATCTGAGATCAGGCTTATGTCAAAAATATGCATTTAAAATTAATATAAGTTACACACGTCACCTTGAATTATGCAAATGATTACAAACAAACGAATAGAGTTGGATTGTTTGTGTTTTTGTTTATTTGGATGGCAAAGTGTTTATTTATGAAAAATGCATAAGATTTCAGCTTTTTGTAGCTAATCTCCATCTGTAGTCTCACGGTCACTCCTATCACTCACAGTAGCACCTATTGTACGTGATTTCCAGGGAACCCAGAGCACCAAGAGAAAACCTACGCAGAAACGGGGAGAACATGTAAACTCCACACAGAAAGGCCTTGTCTGGAGGGGGAATTGAACATAGGACCTTCTTGCTGTGAAAGTACAAATAACATGGGGTGATGTGGTGACGTTTTCTCTGAACTAATGAATGCATAAACACAGGTGTAATACATTGATGGCATTTTGAAGGATTTTGTCTTGTGCCATTAATCCACCGCTATAACCTCCTGTAGCGGAATATTTCATGATAAGTGTAAGATAAGTGTAATGAACTAGTATCTCATTAAAGGATCGCAGAAAAGATGATTGCACTGGAAAATAGCTATCAAGGAAAAACGAAAAAGAATGCTGAATAACTATGTACTGTATGTATTACTTTTGACTCAAGTACTTCTGAAATGTATGTATGCACTTCTGTGACTCCAGCATTTCTGGAATGTATCCATGTATTACTCTGATATACATTTAAGCAATGAATTAAGCAATGAAGGAGTAGGCGTTAACTGTATGAACAATCTGAACCAACCTAAACTTATATTTACAGACTATTCATTTGTGAAAACATAATCATCAAAAAAGACAATAGTAAACCATTTGCTATTTGTTTCAAATATAATCCAATGCGTAGTCTCTTAAAAAGATGAGAGGAAAGAATGTGTTGGCTCTTCTCTGGATCGCTCTATATGACAGGGTTTTCAGATTCTGCACTCGTGAGAAAGGTCTTAGCAAATAATACATGCTCAATGCAACACAATTTGATAGATGTGAACAATATTACAAATAGACTGTACTGAGTTTATTAGTTGGACCCATGAAAAAATGACAGCACAAACTATGGGATTCATTGTGGTCCGTCAAAACTGTGGTCCGTGAGTTTACATGTTCAACAGTAGTCCTAAGATGTGCCTGAATAGTGTATTTTACAGAGTTAAAACAAACAAAATAATTTCAATATACAATGATTGTTAGGTTTTTACTGCCCATACTCCTATAGACAACAATCTTCAGACCATCTTTATTAGGTCCTCAAAGCACAGTTTTTCATTCCAACCAAGCAGGAGAATAGCAGACTCCACCTTTATCATCAAATGTTCAGGTTAAGAATGGACTAACATGATGACATAAATGCTTCTGCTTTGGGTGGAATAAAAACATGCAGCTTCACTGGCACTTTGAGAGAGAAGATTTGGAGATCACTGACTTAAGACTTTGATACGTTTTGAGAAACACTTTCAACCCACAGTTAATGACTGTAAAACGCCATTACTGCAGCTCACATATCCAGAACTGCTCGATCTTGCAGCTCTCGTCGTTCCACTCCCCGTTTCCAGTTTTACGGTGCCAGAACTCCACACAATCCTGGTTGCGGCCGTTGTAGCTGTTGGGCTGTCCATCCCCCCAGAAGCTGCAAGTAGCCAATCAAAATTAGCCTATAACAGACTAGAGCAACACCCACAGTCAACAACTCTTTTGGCTCTTGACAGACCGCTTCAACATCAGCAAACGTAAAAGGCTACATGAACGTCCTGCAACTGTGCTCTGCCCTGGAGGTGAGTTACCCACTATGGATGAAACGGCAAGCTTAGGGACCTCGTGCTTGGGCTCACTGGACTGCTCTAAAAAATGCGGAAAATGTCCCAACAGTTCCCAACATGATACCGTAAGTGCCAACCATTTCAAACATGTGGGAACACACCAAACAAATCTGACCATGATTAGAAGTTTACATCCCCTAGTTTTCAGAACTTTGCATTGCCCTATTACGGCCCACGGCCCATAATTCCCTATTTTGGGGATCACTTTAGTTTCTCCCGTGGTGTCTCGGTGTGTTTGTGTTTCCTCCCTTTACAGAAGACCACGCTCGTGAGTCCTGGGCTCCAATTGGCCAGTCGTTCCCCACCTGGAGCTGAAGGCCTGCGATGCCTGGGTGCTGATTGGTCAGCAGCTGAGGTAGTCCTCCAATCAGCGCACGCTCACCTGGAGGACCCGCTCTTATGAGCTGTCAATCATCCGAGCCTTGGGCCAGCTGGAGTCAGTGGACTCCAGTTTGCCATTAAGTTTTGTCTGTGTTCCGTCGCTTGTGCCGCTACTTTAGTTCAGTGACTTGTGTAGTTTATGTTAAGACACTTTAGTTTAGGCTACACTTTTGGTTTTGTCATTGCTTACTGTTTAATAGGTTTTATTTAATCTGTGTGTTTCGTAGATGTTTAATCCTATTTGTTACCTGTTTTACCTATTTTGTCATTGTAATAAATTATGATTCTAGTTACCATTTAACATCCTGGTCATTTTGTTTCTTACTTACGCCTAAGCTGAGCCGGGTCATAACAGCCCCTTTAACAATAACTTGTTGAAACACTCAAAGATACTTCACATGGCATTATTAATTCACTCTGTACACGGCTGTGGTGCTCTGAGGCAGACATGCGGTTCAAAATGTTTTAATTTGACTATACTTCATACAACCACTAAGGATGAGTGTAAAAATATAGTTTCCAAATGTGTGCATAACCTATTTGGGGTCTTAGTGCCAATGAAAAACTTTTAACCACAACCGTATGTTGCCGTATGCATTAATAGCAGTTATTGCCTCCATACACCGTTTTAACCCATCTAGTTCTTGTGTGTCCAACCAATCAGTTGGTTAAAACAACCAAATTATAAATGGTTGGGTTTTCAATCCATCAAATAGTTTTTCTGCTGATACGACGAGTCATAAACCTTCCAAATTACTGGACATGGTTTTGTGTTTACTTACGTAGCATTAGGGTTCAGCGGTGTCCCGTCCACCCATGTCCAGTGTCCCTCTATGCCATCATCAGACAGCCCGATCCAAACCTCCTTGTCACTGGAGTACAGCCCGTTAATGAATGTCTTTAAACACACAGATGTTATACAACGTTATTCCACATTCAACTCTTTTAGTGAATACTATAATATGTAGGTTGGAAGGCAAACTGACCATTTCCTCCTGTGATGTAATAACTGCCAGATCAGCCCCTTTGCTCTTACAGGAGTCCCTGCTGTTTCGCCAATTCTTCTTAGTTGCTGAAGTGAAGTAACAGCTTTGCTTATACGATTGCCAGCCAAATGGACATTTCTTTGCTGAGAATATAGAGTTTGATTTAGAATTTGACAACTAATATGTTGAATCTGCAAAATCTTTTTGGAAAGGCAGTCCTGCAAAGTTTTTTCTTGACGTTGCAGTCATGAGAGCAGGCTGTTTGTGTTTGGAGAGCTGCTCGGGCATCTGACTTAGACAGGAGATCTTATAGTTGAGACACAGATGTACCTTAAAGTTTAATACATGTATCTGTGGCAACTGAGGGGTAACCAGATTGGAAAATAAGCTAAGATACAAAATGTTGCAACAACGCCACCCCAGACTTCATGGGGAAATAGTGTACTACAGCTTGAAGGCACGCAAGTAAGTATTGCCATACAAGGCAACCGGTTCCATTTACACAACTTTTATTTAATGATTTCAGAAAACATTTCATTTTATTTACTTTACATTCATATTATGCACAGTTAATAATAAAAGACTTTTACAATAAAAAGTGCTAATGTTAAAATAAAAAGGTAGATAAAAGTCCATTCTTTGAAACGTCCGCCTGACAGCCCCGTCCCAGTGCAAACAGTGGGCACACGGGCTCCCTGGTCTGCGTCTCTTGGTTGTTTGCCGTCTGGTTAAGGAGACACCAGTGGGGAAACGGGGAAAAAGCAGAGCAGAGTCTGGCAAGGCTAAATGCTAGCGACTCACCTGGATGCATTACATACGTCACGGTAAACTCAAATCAAATTGTTTCAAACTGCAAAAGGAGTCCCACCTGCTAATGGAGCTCAATGGAGCAAAGCCAGACCTTAGTACGAAATGTAATTTGTTCGATGGTGTGGTACAACCAGGCTGCTGCAGTCTATGCTATCCACTATAAGCAGTTAGTAGGCATTATTGGCTATTATATATTGATTTTTCCTCTCAAAAGTTGGCCTGCCCAATTTTCTTCAGGCTCGCTCTATTAGAAAAGATTCTGGCTACGCCACTGCAGGAGGGGCAATATTTCCGTGCCAATGCAAACCACCGAGGACACCTAAAAAGACAAGAAATGTTTAACTACTGAACCAAACTAACCTTGAATGAAAAAATGGGGAACTACAAAAATGGGAGCGAGACATACCGCCAGTTTGAGCGATTGCGCCTGGTCCCGGCCAAGGAATAGCGTATTGAGCAGGAAAACTGCGGGCTCCTACAGTATTGCTGTAACCCAGACGCCACTTTATATGTTTGGAACATTACACATAGGCACAGAAGAACGAATGGGCCGAGGTAGTCTTACCTTTACCAAAGCGCACGAACTCGCATAACGGATTGGTGCAAGGCAAGTTTATTTATATAGCACAATTCATACACAAGGCAACTCAAAGTGCTGAACAAAATAAGAAAGCATTAAAATCATAAATGATCACAGTACATTAAAAAGAAAGATACAATTATAAAATCCTGCAGTTGTATGTACAGCTAAACAGGACTCTTTTTAACCTGGTTTTAAACATTGTCAGAGAGGAGGCCTGTCTCACATCTTCAGGAAGATTGTTCCAGATTTTAGCAGCATGAATCTGAAAAGCAGCCTCCCCATGTTTAGTTCTGACTCTGGGCACTAACAGGAGTCCAGTCCCTGTGCTCCTCATAGTCCGGGCTGGTTCAAATGGGACTAACATGTCACTAATATATTTTGGTGCAAGGCCATGGAGAGACTTGTAACTTGCAGAGCTGTTTTAAAGTCTATTCTCTGAGCCACAGGAAGCCAGTGCAGAGACCTGAGGACCGGACTAATGTGGTCGTACTTCCTGGTTCTAGTCAGGACTCGAGCTGCTGCATTTTGAATGTACTGCAGCTGTTTTACAGCCTGTTTGGACAGACCTGTGAGCAGGCCTTTGCAGTAGTCTAACCTACTGGAGACAAATGCATGGATAAGAATCTCCAGGTCTGCTTTAGACACCATGTTTTTGATCCTGGCAATGTTTTTTAGATGGTAAAAAGCTGCTGATGTTACTGATTTAATGTGGCTAGTAAAATTTAAGTCTGAGTCCAGTATTACCCCTAGATTTCTGACCTTGTTTGAAGGTTTTAGGGAGAGAGACTGGAGGTGACAGATGACACTCTCTCTTTGTTTCTGGGGACCAAAGACAATCATTTCAGTTTTGTCTGCGTTTAGCTGAAGGAAGTTGTTTTGCATCCACTCACTGATCTGTTGGATACAGTGAAGGAGTGAGTCCACTGGTCCATGTTCTCCTGCAGTCAGTGAGACATAGATCTGAGTGTCGTCTGCATAGTTGTGATAGGAAACTTCGTTTCTGCGTATTAACTGACCTAACGGCAGCATGTAGAGATTGAACAGAAGAGGTCCCAGGATCGACCCCTGTGGTACTCCACAGGTCAGGGCCATTATGATCTGAGACACAGTTTCCAATCTCCACAAAGTACTTCCTGTCTTCAAGGTAAGACCTAAACTAACTTAGGGCGGTGCCAGCGACGCCAACCCAGTCATCTAGTCTCTGTAAGAGGATCTCATGGTCGACGGTGTCAAAGGCAGCACTTAGTTCTAACAAGATTAAGATTGAGACTTTGCTTGCGTCAGTGTTCAGCCGGATATCGTTTGTAACCAACCTTGACGAGAGCAGTCTCAGTGCTGTGTTGGGGTCTAAAGCCGGACTGAAACATATCAAATGAGTTGTTGATTATAAGATATCTAGTAAGCTGTAGGTAGACAACTTTCTCAAGGACTTCCCCCATAAATGGCAGATTTGAGATGGGACGATAGTTGTTAAGTACCGTAGCATCCGGCCTGCTCTTTTTTAGAAGGGGCCTGATGACTGCAGTTTTCAGGGCCTTTGGGAATATCCCAGAATGAAGGGACGTGTTTACTATCTGTGTGAGTAAAGGTAACAGACTGCTCAGAACAGACTTGAGAAATCTAGTGGGTAGTACATCCAGGCTGCATGTGGAGGAGCTCAGATTTGTGATTATCTCTTGGACAGTTTTATCATTTACAGGTGCAAAGTGAGTTAGCTCAGAGAGCCTTTTTGGCTGTTGGATTGTTATTTGTGGGTTGGAGACAATGGCGTTTCGATGCCTTGAACCTTGCCATTGAAAAAATGTGCAAACTCATTGCAATTACGTTTGGAAGTAAGCTCTAATGGCAGCTGAACAGGGGGGTTTGTTAATCTATTAACTGTTGAGAACAGAACACGCAGATTGTTACTGCAGCCTTCATAATTTCAGAAAAATACCTTTCTCTCGTACTACGTAGCACCCGGTTAAACTCGCACAACTTATCTTTGAAGATCCTGTAATCAACCTGGAGGTTGGACTTGCGCCACTTCCGCTCGGCCCTCCTGCACTTTCCCTTCTGTGCTCTGACCGAGTCTGCTTATTTTTCACTATTTTAACCTTCACAGGGGCAACGGTATCCAGAACATTCAAAACACTAGAGGTGACAGAGTTAAACAGTTCATCTACAGTAGAATACGATGCATTCTCAAAGTTTATCATTCCCATAAATAGTTCACTCGTATTTTCATTTATGTGTAGCAGCGAGGAAACTTCTGCGTACTCTGGAGCGCTGGTGAACAGGCAGCCACCACAAGGGCCTGGAAGAGTGTGTGGGCAAAGAGGTGCATCTTAGATTGGGAGCCCACCAGGCCAGCGCTATGGAGCGGCAGGTAAGAGCTTGCCAGCACAGGTCTCCAAAGCCCGTCTTACCCATAGACTGTAAATATTAACGGACGTAGTCCACGCCTTTCACCGCAAACTAATGTGCCACCACTTTTGGCTTCTATGGGCTTTTTCAAAATGGCCGCGGGACAGGATTATGTGAAAAAACCCAATTGCGCATGCGTAAGATGGCTTTAGCCCCATTCATTCGACGAATGCCTTCTTAAGTCCTAGGCTAGACTAGACTGGTCCAGCAAAATATACATTGACAGTATATGGAACATACAGTAGTGTTGGCCAAGAGCTGACTTTTGGACCATCTTGTAAAGAAGTTTTAAAGAGGAAAGAAGACGCAATACAAAAGCATTGGGTAATTCTTATTCTGGATCCAGCCGAGTCTCTCCCTTTGGGAAACAGGAAAAGTGGAGGAACCCCTCTTGAGAAGCTGAGTTCCAGAGCCAGAGCTGTTTGTGGATGTGAGGCCAACTACTAATTGGTATGTCTCAACCTCTGTATCTCTGGCTAATTGCCCAGACTGGTCAAAAGCCCGGCCAGGTCCTTGATACAGTAGAACACTATTCACAGTGGACTTTGGACCGCACTTTGTCTGACTGTGTCACCAAGTGATATCAACTTTGAAGAGCCAAAGACAAACACTGGATGGAACTTTGTGTAAGCTCTCAGTCGTACAGGGATTAGTCAACGCAAAGGAAGGTTTCTCACCCATCATCTGTACTCCTTAGCAGGTTTTTGTTGTCGTTTCGTCCTCAATCCAATGGACTTCTTCATGGGAATGAATTCTCAGACCGCGCGTTGGAAATCTATAACATGAAATTTATAACCTATGGGTGTGGTTAGCCACACCCTAATCCTGATACTAACTCATAAACAATCTAAGGTCTGTTTGATGTAGAAG